ACCGTAAAATTCCGAAAATAAGCCCCTCCATGTATAAGCCCCTCCAAATATAAGCCCCCCAAACTCGTAACGCAAAAAACGCTCCGTTAAATCGCCCCTCCGAATATAAGCCCCGCGGGGGCTTGTACTTGGAAATTGCCCTCGAACACAAACTAAAATAAAGGAAAAAAGGTCAATTTCCTTCCAACTATAAGGCTAGCCCAATCGATTTTGAAACGCGAATTTCCCTCCATAGATAAGCTCCTCCGAATATAAGCTCCTCCAAAAATAAGCCCCTCAAAAAAGGCCTTTGAAAAATATAAACCCCGGGGCTTATTTTCGGAATTTTACGGTATATTTGCACTACGCATGAAAGGCAAATGGATTAAATTTTAAGGTTCAAGGCGGTTTTAAGGCATGGGTTACCAGTGGATTAGTCAGACTTGTAATAAGGTGCATTGAACAGAAAATTACAGGCATGATATCAGGAATGATATGTCTGCTATTGTATGTCCATTAAGTGATTTTCCAGCAAACATTATTTTTTGACTTTTTTACCCCAAAAGTTTTTTCCGTTCAATTCTTATCCATGAGATCTAAACTTAGTTAAATTTCTGTAATTTGTTGTTAAATGCAATTCTGCAAACAACTAAGTATTTAATTTTGCGTAAAAGCTACATGAAATTGTACTGTTTAGCCGTAGATCATTAAAAAGAGAAAGCATCATGCTTTCTCTTTTCAAGTCTAGTAGGACTTAAGCAATGGCATTGATTAAGTCCTAGTAGTTGTTCTCCATGTCTGCTAAGGAGGAAATAGTTTGCTCTTTTCAAGAAATTGTCCTTGCCCATTGCGGTTTCAAACCAAGGATAGCAGCAAGTCTGTCGTAGTCATATACTGCTACTTCAGTGCAAACGAAGCATAGGCGCACAAGTCAGCGCTTGCGTTTAGTCAGGTGCCGAAAATGAAGTGGAAACTTAACCCAAGGGCGTCCATATCATGTTCGCTCCGGCTCGAAAAGGTAGAATCAGTTGTGCAGTAAAAAGTAATGCAAAAAACCTGCGGGGGCTGGGGAAAGAAAGGCGTCTTATTTTTCTTTGGCTTGTTCTATTTTCGCGACGTGGTACAGGCTACGAAATACTGACAAGCTCAGTATATGTCTTCACCACCGAGAGTCACTTACCCTTAGCCGGACACGCCCCTCACGTATCATGTTTTGTTCCTAAAGTTATTTCAAAGCACAGAACCAAACCTAATCAACGGCCGAAGGCAGAAAGGGGAATGAGCAAACGGATGTCACAGCATATTTTGCAAGAAACTGGTATCCTTGTGCCTATCGACTCAGGAACGATTGATTACTACTAGCATTAATATCAGGGTCAGAATTTGAGGGCTACAGTGGGAGGAAAGGAAGAAAAGGAAACCGCCTCGCACACCTGTTAAGTCTTTTATAAACTTTCTCGTCCTGACGGTTTCAAAGAAGGGCGTTGTAGCTGCTATTTAATTTACAGTGTCTGTTCCAGGTGTCGAATTAATCTTACAGCAACTGGAAACGTGGCCACGCCTGCTGAAACTGAGATTGCTTGTAGGATGAACGGCTATAGTTTGGCATATTCATGAGCGCGTTTTGTCCAGTGAACTGAGTGCGTAGGTTTTCTTAACGAAGGGATGGGGTGGGTCAAGTGAATAGTTCGGGGAACGTTTGCTCCGTTTAGGGGCGGGGGTATATTTGTTGATATCAGGAGTTCCGGCCTGGATAGAGTCGTTGTAAAGCTATTTTTGCTTCGGAGTATCGGTTTACCGGAAGCTGAGCAAGGAAAAGTCAATGGTGCATTTATGGAATAATAATAGAGATTCTTATAGTCTAACAGTATGAAGATTAGACTTCTGGTAAGGTGGCAACGATCAAGGCCCGCATTATAATTCATGATAATTGAAGGTCATGATGTGGAAAAAGCGACTGAAATGGTGGATGCCATGCAATCCTCTCTGGTGGGGGCGGCGTACCTGGCCTTAAAGGTTGCCCCTGCGACAGAAGGCAAGCATGCCCAGATTGTCCACGGGTTGCTAAATGAGACCGTCCGTTTCTTAGTATCAGTTCCCTGTCTTATAATTAGACCCGGGCAAATTTCTCGAGATTGCACCATCATTTTGGGCTTAAAGCTTCCAAAGTCCAACAATAATATAATAGCGTATGTTCGCGACGGTTTTTAAAGTCAGTCAAGTTCTTAAACCAGGCCTTAAACGGCCAGTTTTAAGTGTCGATAACAGTTAAAAAGGCATACAAGCCTCGTGCAAAAGACAATGTGAAGGAAGTGCACATCGGTGATGGGGAAAAAGGTGTAGCCCACAGTTATTTAAGGGTGGATCTTTCGAAACATTCTTATACTCTTGGACAGATATGCATTGTTTAAAGTTTTAGACAAACCAGGTGTAAATTTATAGTAACAAACTGTTCAATATACATCAGCAAGATTTTTGCGAATCCTATTTTTCGCTAGAGACTATCGTTTACTGGCTGGTCACGCAATCAAAGGTAACGTACTTTCCCACGTTTGTTTACTCACCTTTCGCTCAGCAATACACTGCGTTCCACAAAGGACCCGAATAGCGCTAGAAATGTTTTGCTATTCGGCCCACTTTTTATCTCAGGTAAGGCACTGCAAAGCTGATTTACTTACGACGATTCCAGGGACAATTATTTCTTGATGTTTTTTTTGATTTCGCAGTCACGGGAAAACCAGAGATGCCAACCTCTGGAGAACTAGAATCTGGAGACCCTCTCTTTTCACCCCCCCGATAAATATGAGAATGCCTGAGGACATTATATGAAGTATTACATGAAGTACAAACCATCAAAATTCACGATCATCATTTTGATGCCAGAAATAATATTTGTCAGTGACTAAATAAGTGCGAAAATGCCCCAGAAACCGTACTACGTATAAGAAAAATTCAAGTTTTGAGCTAAAAATGGGCTAAATCTCAAACTAAGGCACAGAAAAGCTCGAAAGATGATTTTATCCGGGAGATATGGTGACCCGTACGGGAGACAGGGAGATTGGTGTCGTATCCGGGAGACTCCCGGATAATACGGGAGAGTTGGCATGTATGGAAAACAGACCTAGACTCAGGTCCACTCGCAGACGCCATGCTGCAATCTACAAGATCTCAAGAACAGAAATTACCCATTGAACGGCCTCTCCTTTTGAAGATTGCGTGTATTTTATTAAAACAGGTACATATTAAAAGAATCTTGTTAGTTTCTCCCTTTTAACGAGCTCAAATCGATGCATAAAACTATAAGGTGACGTGCACATGTCAACTGACCCTGGGGTCAATTAGCGGTTGTTTGGGGCAAAATAACCTCAAAGTAATCAATCTATTTTACAAGCGTTCGCAAGAACACCAGACTAACTTTCAGATAATGTTGAAGTACTATATCTCATTGGGTAGTAAGCGTGATTTGGGGTGATTTGGAGAATTCCCCCATATAGAAAATTCGATTTTGGTTTTAGCGGTAAATTGTTGTATTTAAAAGCATTATGCAAATTACGTTTCAAAATTCTGCTCGTTCGTTGATATTTTATACTCTAAATCTAAAAAATGTGCCGTTCAGAAATTGTTAGATATCTGCTTTTTGAGATTTAAGTGGAAGGTTGCCAATATATTCGCTCGTTTATGAAAGTCAGCTTAATTCTGTCACTGGGCTATTTTCCCGAGTTCGGCGGCTAATTTTAGGCCCGCTGACCGTTGAAATCGAAAATCTCAAATAATTCCCAAACTCGGCCGCATTTTGAAATTTAGACCTCAGCAGTGTTATAAACTCATTAGAACCTTATTACAGACTGAAAATGAGGGTAAGTTAGGTTTTGAGCTGTGGCCACGGTTTGCCGATTTTGCTCGATTTTTCTGTGCATTCGCTCTTAAGCTCACTAAAAACGGCTGCGAAGGAGACTTCTGAGAGAAAAGAGATAGACCTCCAATCTTTATACACAGCCAGCAATTTCGTTGACCCGCGAAAAGATCAGGTACAAAAGATCCCAAGAAACTTGCCAGTAAATTCGACGCTCTGTTAGTTATTTAAAGCGAAGCCTCCCAAAAGCTAGCAAAAGCAAATTGCGAAGAAACAAAAAGGCAAAGAACAAGGAGAAATAAAAAGCAAACTGTGGAAGCCAAGGTTGTTTTATTCTCTCTCGTTAGTAATATTTCTTTTTACGCATGCCCAAGACTGGACAACTGAGTTAAAATATTTCCTTTGTTTTATAAAGAAGAGCCCGCAGTCTTCATCTCCATGTTGTGCCGCATGCGCCCTGATTTGCATCGATCTCTCCCGCACTCCGGTCCCTTACCTTCTTTTAATACTAGTTTAAGTCTAAGAAGGGTGCTAAAATACACATAACCGACCATATCTTTTAGCTGAACAACGATGAATACTACTCATCGTTTTTGAGTCAAGAATTCTTTTCATGACACAGTCTATTTTTAAAATGATGGTGTTTTTCTGCAGAGTAGTTATCATTATAACAATGTTATGTAACTAGCTATTCATTATGGTGAGGGAGTGCAGGGCAGGCAGGGGAAGGGCAGGGGGACGGGAGGTAAAAGAGGAAAGTGCGGGAAGGTGGAAGAAATGGAGAAAAATTATGCAACAATGCTTAATATTGTGCAATCGAAAAATGGGCTAAAGGGAGGAAGCCAAAAAAAAAAAGGTGGGGTGGAACCCGGAAATACAAGGTATGGGAGGCGGGAGATTTGGATCCCCTGCCCCCCTACCCTCGTTGCGTGAAGCTCAAAACTCCCTAGGGGCTGGACCTAGGCACATAATTGGCTAAATCTATTGACCTCGTGTGGACCAAATTTGGAGGGAATCGGAAGTAACACAATTTTTGCCGAGATTTTTTTGCGTCCTCGACCAGTTTTGGTCGAAATTTAACGAGTCCGTAGACAATATAATTGCACAGATTACTGAAGCTGGCACATGAATCTAACAAGTACGCGGTTATTTCATGCCGTGATTTGTTATGAACAATAAAACATTTCTGTCTACCAAATTATTTGCAGATGTGGATGCTCTGAAGTGTGACGTCTGTACTGAAACTGGTGACAATGCTTGTTCAAAGAGTAAATTGGCAGGCGATCAGGCTACATACTCGAGGGACTGTGGTGATTTCTTGGATCGCTGTTTTAGGCAAGAGGCCAAGGTACTTGGCCTCAAGACAGTGAGTACATTCTGTGCCACTGAAATCTCAGGGGCACCCAACGAGGATATAGTTCAAAACCACTTAACATAGCATTGTTGAACGTATTTTAGTATTCAAACGTTAGATATAGGCATATTTTTATCCCCTAAAAACTTTTCATCTGTTCGGATTTCTTAGCTGATATTCTAGTGATCCGAAAATTATAGGGATAAAAACTTACCTTCTCGAAAATTTCAGCCAGGAAAAGGCTCCCGAAAATTCTAGGTGGCCTTTTTTAGGGTCAAAATCCGTTAAAAATGAGTAATTATACCATTTTGTAGATGTTCGAAAAACCTAGGAGAGGCAGGCAAGCAAGACATTTTACAACAAATGCTCCGAAAATTCTAGATCTCAAATCGTCTTCCGAACAGATATTTTCCCGAAAATTGCCGTTGGGTGCCCCTGAAATCTCCTGCAAAAGCTTGCAAAACACTTGCAACAAATTTGACGCCTGCAAAGACGTCACCTGCTGTGACAATGACAACTGTAACGGAGGCTCAGCGGTTTACTTCAGCATGTTCTTGATGACCGTTTGCTGTGTTGTTGGCCTGGTGCTTAAGTAAACAGAAAAACGTTTCTGCAACGAGCTACGACTTGCTTACGTAGAAGGCCTAAATGTAATAAACGGTCCTAAATGTAATAACAATTCGCCCTAAATGTACTAAACTCTTAAGCTGCCAATTACAGTAATTACTCGAATAAGCCCGGCCCTCAAATAAGCGTCGCATTTGAGGTGGGGGGGAGTTAATTAGCGCCGCGGCGCTTATTCGAGTAAATACGGTACTAAGCGGTATTGCTATGGTATTACGCTCCGCTCTCAAATAAGCGCCGCATTTTTGGAGAAAAAAGTTAATAAGCGCCGCGGTGCTAATTCGCGTAAATTCGGTACATTTCTTTATGCACTGTGAAACTTAACGTTTACAAATAAATTGCTTGTAAACGGCAAAGTAACAGTATTTTTGTAAAAAAGCAATATTTAAGCAATAGAAAACTTTTTTCCTGTGTTTGAATAGCCTGTTATAAACACTAGAGGGGTTGGGAGAATTCGAGACAGTTATGCAAACCCTCGACGTCGTCTCAGGTTTGCATAACTGTCAAGATCGAATAAAGAATTAAGTCCTAAATGTAATAACATTTTGCCCTAAATGTAATAAACTCTTAAGATACCAATTACCGTATTTATGCGAATAAGCATCGCTCTAAAACAAGCGCAGCAATTGGGATAAAAAGTTAATAAGCGCCGCTGCGCTTATTCGCGCGCGTAAAGACGGTGAGAAAAAAGTAAATGAGCCCCCGGCCCTTAATCGAGGAAAACAGTACTGATATATCTCCTTAATATGCAACGTTGAACTTCACGTTTATGAATAAATTTCTTCAAAGCGACACATAACAGTTTCTTGTCTATTAAGTATACTTATTCATTCATACCTCATTCATTCATTCATTCATTCATTCATTCATTCATTCATTCATTCATTTTATTGGTTAATCCATATTGTTTACAATTATGTAAAACATAACAAGTAACAAAAAGGGACTATTGTACCTTTCCACAACGGCCACCTTGGGGACAGGCAGAAAGTGACCGCGGGAAAAGTAAGGGGAAAAAATAGGAAAAATAGGAAAAAAGGAAATGAAAGGAAAAGCAACATTAACGAGCTCCACTGTAAGTCTCACTGTAAGAGAATCAAAAGAGCTGTTAATGCTTTTATACAGATATGATGTTCACCTTGTGTCATTACATAAGTTTTTAAGGAAGCCCTACCTTCGTTTGTGTTTGTTGCTGTTGAAAAAAGATGACAACAGTGACAAGGCAGAAGAGGTCATTTTAAAAAGACAAAAATAAAGACAGAGGACACGAAACACTGTCTGGCACCAACCGGAAAAATGGTCGTAGTCTATTTTTATCGCTCAAAATCACAGCGTAAAGCATCTTATCTAAGCAGAAGTGTTACAGGTTTTTATTAAGTAGTATGCTTCTTAGCTAAGTTTTTTGCGTCAAGTGTTGTATTTTAGACGAAATATGCTATTTACAGAGGAGTTGTCGTCTCAGTACGTAAGACGCGCCATTTTTTTTCCTGGTATAAATAGACCTAGTGCGATCAAAAAACAAACGCGACAGGGCAAGCTATTGTAGGTGTTTGTTATGAACCGTTTTCAGCGGTTTCTAGGTCTATTGAATGACAAATTATGACCGTATGTAACAAGTCAGATATCTTAACGCTGCCATTTTCTTCGGACTAAAATAGGATGCCTCCTTCTCATAGTGACTCAAAGACCGATATGGGAACGAAGTAGACAGGAGCCAAGCGCAATGAGCCTCGCTTGTAGCTGGGTTAAGTAGCTGGGTGCAGTTGGTGCAGACCCATGTGTCAGGCCTGAACACGTGATTGGAACGCGATATATGGCCATATATAGGCAGATCTCTTGGGGGGCAGGGGGGGGAGGTGATGTGGGTCTAGACCGATTACTAGCTTGTTACATAGCAGGAAATTAAAGATGGCTGGTGAAACATTTGTTAAATGATTACCCTATTACATTACCATCATTAAATTGACAACCCGTATGCTCAATGTCGGAAACATGAGTACAAACGCAGTGCATATTCCATTCCAAGCCGTGAACTGAAGATTATTTTTCAGCAAAACGACTCTCTCTCGTCTGGCTGAATTCGCTCCATCCATTGCATCTTGTCTTAGGTCCTCCTGTAAAAATTTGCTTTTCGCGAATTTTAAAAGTAGGAATTCGGTGACGATTTGAAATGTAGCAAAGAATTGAAGAGCGATGAATGCAAGGGTGATCGTAAATGAAATGATATGAATATATTTAAAATAACGAATGACCCTGAATACTGTTTTAGTGAACCGCGATGATAGTTTGGTCGAAGAACCAAAACTCGACTGTGCTCGATAGTAATCAGGTGTATTTGGCTCAAAAAGCTTGTTTCAAAAAGTATGTTTGAAGTGCTCGCTTAAAGAGATTTAGAACACTAATTCTCCCAAAGTTCTGATGGTAGCTGGTTCCACAGGGTGGCTGCGAAATCCCTGACAATGCAGTACCCGCGGAAGGGTTGGGGCCAGGGGACTTTGACAGCCCAATTTTTTGCGAAATAAAAAAAATCGTAAAGTTTTTCACGAAATACGGAAAAGATTAAGGATCCCGCAGAAAGTGCGAGTATAAGCAAAAGAAGTTATTCTCTCCTTGTTCTTTCTTCTTGCATCGACGTAATGATTAATGTATCACTGCAGCCATTATCTTGCTAGTTTTGTGAATAAAAGAGGTGTTCATGATAACGTAGCTTTTCTAGACGGACGATAAGTTTTAGCACTGAACATCCTAGCTTAAATCATACAAAATCCCGCCTGCAATCCAGTAACCACATAGAGGCGCTTGAATTAAATCGGTATTCAAAAATAAAAATAGCGATCGGAATATCAGGTTCTTTCTTGAAAAGTGGAAAACACACTGCATTCAGCTTTTGTCAATAATATCGATTTGTTCTTTGTTAGAGGAAAACAAACATTCTTATAATAGGTTGAATCATTTGAACGAGCGTCCTCGGACAACCATCTCCCCCCTCGCTTCCCTATGCACTTGAACAACGGCCGTCGCACTTAAAAAAAAACTGCACGTACCCTGCATCGAGGATTGTTAGAGTCTTTACAGCAGGTGGTAACAGAACCAGCTCATCATTTGATCTGAGCCGCTTATACCAATCTTCTCTTTTCAACTAGTTTTTGAATGTTGAACAATAGGGCCATTCATACGAGGAAAAATAAGACGCGTCTTACATAGGACGCGTCTTAAATAAGACGCGAACTTTCCGTATAAACGGCACATTTCGTCTAAAATAAGACGCAGCTTAGCTAAGACTCGTCTTATTTTAAAACAGCCCTTAACACCTGTTCTTAGATAAGACGCGTCTTAGCTAAGACGAGAAAAACTTCGTATAAAAGACCTTCGCGTCTTACATAAGACGCGAACCCATAGTACGCATGCGTTAATTTTGGGCGCGCCACGTTGGATTGCCGTTGCTACGGGCAACATTCACATGAAAACGAGTCAAGAGCAGAAATAAGACACGAACCATTTATACGAGCTGTTCTCGTCTTAGATAAGACATGCTCGTATAAATGGTCCAGTTCGCGTCTTATTTAAGACGCGTCTTATTTTTCCTCGTATAAATGGCCCTAATGTCGCTTGCCATAGAAATTAATTTAATCGTCTTCAGCAAATATGCCGTAGTCTGAAGGCGAAGTTTTGAGAAATTGCACGTTTTGTTTGTTGCAAACTTCAGCAAAAAAATCGTTTTGTGTGTTACCGTTTGGAAAAATGATCTGTCGTCTGAATAGCTGCTGGTGGTTTACCGAACTTATACCGTATTTCGGTAAATACCAGAGGCATATTGGGTGCCCAGGGGGGCACACCTAGCCATTAATTTTTAAAATTAGTTTGTTTTAACTTCCCTTGAAAGAAATTTAAGTGGGTCACTTTTTGCCCTTCATTGCTCAAGGAGAAAGGAGTATCAAACCGCCTTAAAAAATAGACGGTGTTGAGCGCAAGGTTGTTCATGCACTAAGAACAGTTCAGTCTTTCACCTGAGAACAAGAAATACAACAGTTACAATCATGCGCTTCTTCTTGTTTGCCGTATTTGGTTTCAACAAAATGCAAAGAACTTGTACCACTATTCATTTCTTACAAGTTTTAAGTGACGGCACAAGGTTTCAACAAATCACATCATTTGATTTTTCTATTTGTCATTAATTGACATCCCTTTTAATACCTTTATCCATTCCGTTATAATTCTCTTGAAAGAAATTTTAGTGGGTCAATGGGCCATTTGAACGATGGCGTCATTTTACTGCTACGACCAGAATCCTTTTAGTTTTTCCTTTCAAATTGTAATCCCATTGGGGTTTGAATAACAAAAGCCCTAATTTGCACAAGAAAGCAAAACCCTGAAGGATTCTGGTCGTAGTCGTAAAATGATATCATCGTGCAAATGGCCTATTCTCGCGCCTCATTGCTCAAGGAGAAAGGAGTATCAAACCGCGTCACAAAAAGGCGTTGTTCAGTGCAAGGTTGTTCATGCAAACGGTCCTTTCACCTGAGAACAAAAAATCCAACTGTTACAATCATGCGCTCTCTCTTGCTTACAGTGCTTGCGATTTTGTTAACTACAACAGCCAGTAAGTGATTCTTTGTTCTTTTCAGAACGCCACATTATTTAAAAACATACACTTTCTGCTCCATTTTAGCACAATTTTTACAGTGTCGTCCCCAAGTGGATTGTTTCAAATTTGTTAGAAGCCAGTTTCTCCTAATAGAATCCATTTCATTGCCATTTTTTCTAGAACAGTAATTCGAGAATTCACTAGTATTGAACATGATTGAATTCATAACAGTGTCATTGAATTGCGTTATGGCTAATACTTACTCAGGGGTTGGAACATAAAGCGTTCCTAGCCATGACATAAGAGATTTATTCGCTATTTTGTAGCGCAGCAGTTAGTTTGCTTGTACCCAAGTGTATTGACTCAAAAAGTGATTATTGTTATTAA